AAATTTATTAGGGGCTCATACAACTTTTATCACAATCCATACATGCATCCATTGTGTAAAGCACATTTGTACATTCATTGCCCTCATCATTCTCAGAACATTTGCTCTCCACTTAAGCCCCTGGCATCAGGTTCTCATTTTCCCCCTCCCTTCCCGCTCCCCACTCCCTCATGAACCCTTGATAATTTATAAATTATTATTTTGTCATATCTTGCACTGTCCGACGTCTCCCTTCACTCACTTTTCTATTGTCCATCCCCCAAGATTTCCTTCTTTTTATGATCCCATCAGATTGACTTTAGGGTCTACCATAGTCTATTATGACCTCATTTAAATTGATTGTATATATAATGATGTTATTTACAAACAAAATATAGGGAGCTAGGAAAAAAATAGATATATATCTATAAATATATAGATATATATCTTTTGAAGGGACACAGTTCAACCTTGAATAGCACTGCTGTCCACTTACAGGTGTTTTAAAGACTTCCAACTACAGCGGGCTAACAAGATGGAGCTGCGAAAGCAGCAAGAGGATGTGAGTGTGGTCCGGCGCACTGAATTCTACTTTGCTCAGGCACGATGGCGCCTGACAGAGGAAGATGGACAGCTGGGAATTGCTGAACTGGAGCTGCAGCGCTTCCTCTATAGCAAGGTATTCAGTACCCATGGCAGTACACATACTGGTTTATTTTTATTTATTTATTTTTTTTAAACATTTTATTAGGGGCTCATACAACTGTTATCCCAATCCATACACACATCAATTGTGTAAAGCGCATTTGTACATCATTTCTCAAAACATTTTCTCTCCATTTAAACCCCCGACATTAGGTCCTCATTTTTCCCCTCCCTCCCCGCTCCTCTCTCCCACATGAGCCCTTGATAGTTTATAAATGGGTATTTTGTCATATCTTGCCCTGTCCGACTTCTCCCTTCACCCACTTTTCGGTTGTCTGTCCCCCAGGGAGGAGGTCACACACAGTTCCATGTAATCGGTTCCCTCTTTCCTACCCATTCTCCCTTTACCCTCCCTGTTTTGCCACTCACACCACTGGTCCCATAGGGCTCATCCATCCTGGATTCCCTGTATTTTCAGTTCCTATCTGTACCCATACTGGTTTATTTTAGTGGTCCAGCTCACACAACGGATAAACACGAAGGAGTTGATTATGGAGAGTTTTTTTTTTTTTTTCTTTTTTAACATTTTATTAGGGGCTCATACAACTGTTATCCCAATCCATACACACACCAATTGTGTAAAGTGCATTTGTACATCATTTCTCAAAACATTTTCTCTCCATTTAAACCCCCGACATTAGGTCCTCATTTGATTATTGAGAGTTTTAATGATGATCATGATTGGACAAATGAGTAGAGTTCCTGTTTGACATCCATTTTTAATATTAAATAATAAAGAAATAAATGAATTTGATTAAATGCATCCCTATAGAGTATGATGATCCCTAGAATTGTGGCCCAGAGGAGTTCATTCTCCAAGGCTAGCTTTTCTATAGCTAGAACCTGTGTGAAGTTCTGTGCTATCAAGTTGATTCGGACTCATAGCATGACCCTATAGGATAGAGGGCAAACGGCTCCAGAGCATTTCTTAGATTGTCATCTTAATGGGAGTAGATCACCAGATATTTTCTCCCAAGGTGTGGCTGGCAGGGCTGAACACTGACCTTTTGGTTAACAGCTGAGTGCTTAACCATTGTGCCATCAGTGCACCCTAGAATTTAAATAGGACCAGTCTAGTGCTGAATTTCATTTTCTGCAGTGACTTACTGACATGTGGGAGGGAGGACCTTATTCTCTACTGCAAGGCACATCAGGCAATAAGTGAGAGCGGTTCTGAATGCCACTCTGACTGGGAAAGTACTGGCATTCAGTGCCCTGACTCGCAAGACCCGTGGGAAACACTGGATTCGAAGGTGCATTGCCCAAGGTTGAGATTGGGAACATGGAGAACTTGAAAGCGAGCAGCATAGGTATGTGGCAATTTTCTAGCAAACTCTTGGGAAAGGCTTTATTATAGTGGTGGGGTGATCTCTGTCTTTATAGGTGAATAAGTCTGATGATACAGCAGAACATCTTCTGGAGCTTGGCTGGTTTACTATGAACAACCTCCTCCCCAATGCTGTGTACAAGGCAAGTCTTAGTTCCCCATTCTTCGCCTGTTCATATGCTTCCTCACACACAGAATTGATAATGTCCACATGAACCTACTGTGGAGAACAATATGGTGATCGAAGATGGAGAAGGCTTGCCCAACTTAGCAAGACCATCACCTTTCAGTCTGCAGAAGATATGTGGGTTGACTTAAATGACAGAAGGGCATTGTGTTGGGTTATTGTATCCTACAGGTAGTACTACGGCCACAGAGCCCCTGCCAGTCTGGGCGACAGCTAGCCCTCCGCCTCTTCAGCAAAGTTCGGCCCCCTGTTGGTGGTATCTCTGTCAAAGAGCACTTTGAGGTAATAGCCAGTCCCTGAGAGACCCAGGAGAAAAGGGCAGTTAAAGTTAATCTGTGTGTTACAGGGCTGCATTGTGGTAGGTCAGTGAAGGGATTGTGTCTGAGCTTAATTATTTCTTGACCTCTTTCTCCTTTAGGTAAATGTGGTGCCTCTCACCATCCAGCTAACACACCAGTTCTTCCATAGAATGATGGGCTTTTTCTTTCCTGGTCGAAGTGTGGAGGATGATGAGGTTGGGGATGAAGAGGATAAATCCAAACTAGTGACTACTGGTGAGAACCTTTGTGGTGGAGCTCCACAGTGGGATGGCATCCCCAGAAGTAGCTGTAGCTTTAGAGGGGATCGACAGCTGGTGTGCTTGCTTTCTCTTAGGAATACCAGTGGTGAAACCTCGACAACTGATTGCAGCAGATGATGCAGTACCTTTGGGATCTGGGAAGGGTGTGGCACAGGGCTTGAATCGGAGCTCTGGGGTCAGAAGGTCATTTCGCAAAGTACCTGAGGTACAAGACACACCCATGGGTGATAGAACAGTGGGCGCAACCTGAGGTGTTTGGCTTGGCTGAGGACTTCTTTTAGTCTATCTGAAGGGTGAAAGCCAAGAGGGATGATTGGGAACGCGTCCCTTTTCCTTTTGATGGTTTCAGGGGTTCACACTCCTTTCCTGCCTTTCTTAGCACCCTGTGGATGATATTGACAAGATGAAAGAGCGAGCTGCCATGAACAACTCTTTCATCTACATAAAAATTCCACAGGTCCCACTGTGCGTCAGTTACAAGGTCTGTACCTCTCTAGCACTTTCTGAAACAGGGTGGAACTGGATACATTCACTAGATTGCAGATAGGGAGACAGCCACAGTTCTGTGAAATGGGGCTATGGGTGGTAGATGTGCCCTCTGATTTTCTCAGGAGTCCATAGCATTACCAGACTCAATTAAAATCAGTATCAGATTTTGTTTGCAAGAAAATACTAGCCTAGTCTCAAGTACTGGTTTAACCCATTAGGACAGCAGATCTGTTTTCCTCCTATTGTTTTGGCTTTCCCCTCTTCCTCGTGCAGGGTGAGAAGAACAGCGTGGACTGGGGTGACCTTAACCTGGTGCTGCCCTGTCTGGAGTACCACAACAACACGTGGACCTGGCTGGACTTTGCTATGGCTGTCAAGAGGGATAGCCGCAAAGCCCTGGTTGCCCAGGTATCCCATCAAAGCTCATGGCTGTTTGGTTAGGGGGCTGGTAAAATAGATCCTGTGCTCAGGAGCCCTTCCTTTTAGGATATAATACAAGTCTTAGGAGAGGCCAGGGGAATCTAGTGAGTGGTTTCTATCCTTGCATTCTCCATGACTTTGTCCAGGTGATTAGATTGAATGTTTACTGTTCACATGTTAACTACTGTTGGTGTTAGGAAACTAGGGCTGACCTAACAACATAAAGTTTTGAATGGGTTCTACTTAGACTGTAAGCGTCTTGGAAGCAGAGACCATTTTATCATTGATTTGCCCGGTTGTGCCCTTCTTTTTAAGCCTTATAAATCTTCAACTTGATTAATTTTGATTTCTTCTGCTTGGTCCACTAAGATTTGCTTTCTCCTTTACTCCTTGCCACCCTGCCAGGTAATCAAAGAGAAGCTGAGGCTGAAGCCTGCAACAGGGTCAGAGGTCCGGGGAAAACTAGAAAGTAAATCAGACCTGAACATGCAACAGCAGAAAGAGGAAGAGAAAGCCCGGCTCCTCATCGGTCTAAGTCTGGGTGACAAGAACCCTGGAAAGAAGTCCATCTTTGGCAGGCGCAAGTGATCTGGCGATTCAAGACTGGCTGCAGTATAGGATCTGACTCTGGCTCAGTCCCAGGAACTTGTGAAGAGGGAGGGGCTTCCCTTCACCCACCATGATTTGTCATGATCAGGGTCCATGGGTACTGTGTAGAGAGGCACCACTCTTTAATAACTGGCCTGGGCATGGTGGACCAACAATGCCAAATTGTACCCCACACTGATCAGCATCCCTAGGGCCAGAGAGACAATAAAAAAGCAAGAACCAGGGAATGAGCCCAGGGCAAGGATCCCAGTCCCTTGTGGTCAACTGAAAGGAACGATGGGGGATAGTCTTGATCAAGTGTGATAAAATTTTATAAATAGATATATATAAATAGATATATATTTCTAAGTATAACTGTTCTATGTGCCAGGAAGCTGAGGGGAGGAGGCTGATCCTTTGTCCTTCAGTCCACTGCCTTGACTAAAAGAGGCGTTTGTGTGTGTGGAGGGAATCACCCCTTCCCCAATCTGTGTGCCAAGCTCACATGGGAGAATGGCATTGGGAGCCAGGGCTGGCCATGGTCCCCTAATCTTACCCCTGGGGTATGCCCTGGAAAATGGTAAAATGATTTAAAGAGGAAAAAAATTCTTTTAATTTGATGCTGGTTTTTTTTCTACCGGATTGTGTTGCGTGCATGGGTTCAAACTGTCTATACTCTTGCTTCTCGTTAACCTGACACATCCTGTAGCTGCCATTTAGTGAGTGGCCTCTTTTTACCTCTGCCTTCAAGCTGTTCAGCCATGGAGTGACGCTGGCCCGGTGCTGTTGGGTCTGCACTTTACCTCAGGCTATAAGCCTATTCTTAATAAGAGGGAATAAAATTTGGGGAAAATGGTGAGATTTGGCTGTGTCACCTGCACCTCTAATCATGAATAGCAAAGAAGAGGCAGGGCTCATGTTTAATGCAGCTTTGGAGGGAGGAACTGCTTATGTAACTAGGACAACAGCTTTAGTGGGAGGAGAGCAGAGACAGGCTGGGAATGGGAGCAGTGAGCTGTCGGCAGGGGCAACATGCCCGGGTGGCTGCTCCTCACAAGGTAGGCCTCTGGGTTCTGGGAATCTGACGAAGGTGAAGGAAGTATGGATTTAGTCTGGGAAATGACTGGAGAGTTGTAGTGCTCCCTGTTGGGAATGGGGGTGGCTATTCTGTGAAAGCATCCCAGCCTCATACTGAGAGGTACAGGCTACATATTTTTTAAGTCTCACGGATAATGTTTAATGATTGCTGAATTGTGTCCTGCAAATTTAGGTCTTGGCCCAAAGCAGGGATAACGGCAATTTTGCCTTGTGTTTCAAAGGTGCCTCTAGGGCTGGGATGTAGGGGAGGGGGAGTGAGTGAGTGCTAAAATGGGCAGAACTTGGCAGTGCCTCTGGGACAGGTGGTTTAGTGGTTCCCTTGGTTCTCAGCAGGATGGCAACATCCAGGGTCCCTGGACCCGAGGCTGGAAGAGCCTCTGGTCAGGTGTGGGGACCAGCAGGTCAGGTGTGGAAGAGCTGTGGGGACCAAAGCAGCATCAGTGCATATACGAGAAGTCCCTGGAGCCAGCCACAATGCCAGTAGAGAAGCCTCTGTCTGAGTGGCCCATGCCTCAGTCCATCACTCTTTTTCTGCCTGAGTTCCCCATTAGACCTCTTAATGGGCAACAGCAATTAAAGGTAAGATCAGTGAAATTCTTGGAAGGGGCCCTCACTCTTGGGCGGGAAATCTAGAAACTCGCCTTGTTCTGTTTCTCTGTGCAGATTTTAGGCCTTGTGGCCAAAGGCTCATTTGGAACTGTCCTCAAGGTGCTAGATTGTGGCCAGAAAGCGGTATTTGCATTGAAGGTATTGGCCTAGGTACTCTTCCATATGATTTTCTAGTCCTTGCCTCCAATCCTGGTTTCAGAGAGGATGGGAGGATTCCATAGACATTCCTCTCTGGTGGTCATCACTTCTCTCCTTTTGTAGGTGGTGTCCAAGGTAAAGGTGCTACAGAGGGATACCCTGAGGCAGTGCAAAGAAGAAGTTAGCATTCAGGTATGCACAGGGCCCCAGGAAAGGATCCTGAGAGTTAAAGCATCATATCCAATGTTGTGCTCTTTCTTGTCCTGCCCCCGCCCGGCTTCCAACTAACAACAAAACAGACCCTAGAAAAAGGAGCTATCTCACAGGTTCTTCAGGGAACTCTCCACCAGTATTATATTGGTTCTATAGCCTTACCAGGCAGCTGGCTCCAATGATCGAGTTCGCCTGACCTGAGTGGTGAAGTATGGGCCCCTTTGTGCACAACTAGTGAAATCCAACTTCTTGGCTGCCTTGATCCTCAATGATCCTAACTTCCTGATTCTTTCGTCCCTAGCGACAGATCAACCATCCTTTTGTACACACTTTGGGTGACAGCTGGCAGGGAAAACGACACCTCTTCATTTGTGAGTGACTGTCCTCTCCTCATCCCCAAGGGTGGTTCTACCATACCCCCACACCTTGGATTACCCACCCCTTTGGTTTGTTTCACTCTGGTCATAAGCACCCGTTTATCTTAAGGGGACAGGGTATAGTGGGTGGCACCATTTTGGGCATGAGGACTACAAAACTTAAGAGCCCAGGCACAGGAGCCTCCAAATGATGCTTTAACTCCTGGTGCTTTGCAGTGTGCAGCTACTGTAGCAGAGACCTATATTCCCTCTGGTCCACTGTCGGCTGCTTTGCTGAGGCTTCCATCTCTCTCTTTGCTGCTGAGCTGGTCCTGGTGCTATGTAAGTAATACAGGAATGGTAATGGAAACCGCAAAGAGTCCAGCTGAGAGGGTAGGTAAAGGGAACTACATTCATTCTAGAGGTCAAAGAACAGGGTTGGGGAGGGGGCCACGAGGAAACTGCAAAGGACAATAGAGCTTCAGCACAACCCATGCTTGCTTCATCCACAGGCTATCTTCATGACTTGGGCATCATCCATCGAGATGTGAAGGTAGAGTTGAGTGCTTTTTCTCTGTCTGAAGAGGGGCCTCAGTAAGGGATTCCAGCAGATCCCAGAAGGCACAGTAGAATTGGGAGCAGCTGACCTTGGGGCCCCCATGGATACTAAGGATTTGGCTAAGGGTTCTATCCAGTACAGATCTGAATGGTTTTTAGAGTGAGCTTCGTCACCTAGGGGGTACACATGATGAAAGGGGTTTGGAAGGACAAGGATGAGAAGGATGAGTAATACTTCACCTGTGGTTTTTCAGATGGAGAATATCCTTCTGGATGAACGAGGTAAGTCCTTTTTCTTTCCTAACCCCAAGATGAAAAGCACCTGGATTTCAGCACACATCAAGGCTGAAGGGTGGAATAGAGTGGTGCCGCTCTTACCTTCTTTCATAGGACATCTGAAACTGACAGACTTTGGTCTGTCCCACTACCTGCCCCAGGGAGCCCGAGCCTACACTATCTGTGGGACTCTTCAATACATGGGTGAGAGAGGCTAAGGTTGGTGGGTAAGCTTTGATCAGAACAGCTGAGGGATTCCAATGATGAGTATCTTCCAACTCTAGCCCCAGAGGTCCTGAGAGGAGGGCCTTACAACCATGCTGCTGATTGGTGGTCCCTGGGTGTCTTGCTTTTCTCTTTGGCAACTGGAAAGGTGAGACAGCTAGACAGAGAAAAGAGAAAATTTGCCGTACTGATGGGGAGACGGAAAAACACTAGGAAATCTTTCTATTCCTTTTAACTCAGTTCCCAGTGGCTGCAGAGAGAGACCATGTGGCCATGTTGGCAAGTGTGACCCACTGTGACTATCAGATCCCCGCATCTCTTAACCAGGGCCTCTCACTCCTGCTCCATGAGGTAAAGGTGACTAATACCTTTGCCTTTCCTTTTTGACTACCAATTTTTTCCCTCCCTGCCATTTAAGTGGGATTTCCCCATCCCCCTGATTCACTTTTTTTGGTGGTGGTGGTGGTGGGGAACTGTTCTAACTTGCTTAAGGCTCATCTCATTGCTTGCCCTTAAACTAGCACCTCACATTTCATTTCTGGCTTTTGGCCCAATGATTTCTGTCCCCCACAAATCTCCTCACCATCTGGAACACACATGTCCTTTTCAAGAAAGCAGACCACTTAAAGACTGCTAAATACAACTCTTATACTCCCACTTTTGCCCCAAATTAGCCTGTTTCTCCCTCTTTTACAAATGTACTTCTTGCCTTCCATAGCTCAAGGCTTGCTTTCTCCTTTTCATGCTGCTTTGTCCAGGGCCTGGCCAATCCGTCCCTCGTTTTTCATGTTCTATTTCCCTTCAGCTCTTATGCCAGAACCCGTTCTGCCGTCCACGCTATCTGCATCATTTCCAGGTCCACCCTTTCTTTCGGGGTGTGGCCTTTGACCCAGAGCTCCTACAGAAGCAGCCAATGAACTTTCTTATGGAAGCTGAAGCTACCCAGGCCAATTCACTGGAATCCATGCCCTTCAAGGACTTTGACTGTGACCTGGAGTGCTTCCTGATCCACCCCAGCCCTGTGTAAGTTGGGGCACAGCTGGGAACCTGAGGATTTCCTCTACTGCCAACTCAGTGTGACCACCTTGATGAGGTTGTTTGTTCTCTGTTGCTCCTTATCCCTCTGCTGTTTCAGGCATTGGACCTGAGTTCACACCTTGGGTATTCTACTGGCAGCCATAGCTGACCTTCCCTTATCATACACCTTACCTCTCAACTCAACATGCTAGATCACCGTAGTGACCTTTCTTTTGTTCTGTTTGTACATCTCCTTGTTCTGCTGTTTCCTTTCTTCAGCAAGAATGATTATTCATGGGTTCCCATAATGCTAGTTAAATGTTTAATAGGCTTGCCCAAAGCAAGTGTGAATGTTTTTCGTGGATTTCAAAAGCTGGTATTTCAACTCTATTTAGGGGACTCAATAATGCAATGAAAAAATATGGTCAGGGGCTCCAGATCAGTCTTTAGTAAATTTAGTTTTTTAAAAATTAAAAAGCAAAACTAATAGCTTTAAGGAAGAAGATGGTAAGAACTAAACCAAGAATGGGTTAACGCTTTTCTAGGTGTAATTGGAAAAGCCATCAATTTTTTTCTAGTAGCACTTCAAAAAACATTAATTTTTTACCCTGATCAATCTTTGATGAACAAACCAAGGGGTGCTTCGTAGAGAGGCATGGCATCAAGCGTAAGACTTAAAGTTAATTTCAAAAGAACCTTTTTAGTAGTGAAAATTATTTGGATTGCAAATTTGTGTTTATACACTTAGCCTGTATGACCTCTTTTCATTTTCTTCAACTTCTTAAAGGCTTCATTTTTGTTTTATGATTTTAAAGGCAAACATGCTTTAACTTAGACTTTATTATTTATTTATTTTTACTTTATTATTTTTAAATTATATCCAATCTTTCTAGACTAAGAGTCTGTATACTTGTGTTTATCCTGTTCCTGGATTAAGCCAGATTTTCTCTGTACATGGCTGGCATTTTATGTCTTTGCAGAATGGCCTCTTTCTGATTTATACTTTGGCATGATGCCACCTGCTTTCATTAAGAGGATATCATGAGGAAAATCCCTATGAAACTTAATTTTTGTGCATACTGAAATGAATAAACGCTGGATGTTTACCATTGCAATTCAGTGTTCTATTTAGGATGCATGGGAGGAATTTCCTGTTGGTCCTTGAATTTTTTCTTAAGTGCTGTTTGTTCTTTACCTTAATGACACTAATAGCCTATCATTTTTTCCCCCTTTGTACTAATGCCCAATTTGTGGCCCAAGTCCAGAATGTTATACATTTTGTATGCTAGCTGCATTATCTACCTTCTCCCCCACGCCTCATTTTTAAAGTTGTACCTGTGTAAGCCTGTTTAGAATAAGGTTGGGACTAAACAAATAAAAGGATATATTCTTAATTTTTTTATTATCTCACTGTTTGTCTCTAGTTCTTTTTCTACTGTATTACATTTGTTAAAAATAGGAATTAATAGTCTTGAACTATCTGGTGCCTGGACCCACCAATAGCTATTTCAGAACCTTGAGGGTGAGTCATTCAAACTCTGTAAATCTTAGTTTCCAATTGTATAAAATGAGAGGGTTATAATTACTGATTCTTCATTGTAGGGGATTCATTTTAGATTTCTGTAATGCACCCCCCCCCCCCCATCTTTTTTCCCCCCCTAACTTCATTGAGGAACCTTGGTGGTGTAGTGGTTACTGGTTGGGCTGCAATCCACATGGTCTGCAGTTGAAACCACCGGCCACTCTGAGGGAGAACGGCTGGGCTTTCTACTCCTGTAAACAGTCTCAGAAACCCACAGAAGTCACTGTGAGTCAGCACTGACTCAATGGCAGAGTTTTTGTTTGTTTTTTTTAACTTCATTGTGGTTTGGATGAAAATTTAATGCAAATTTGTTTTTCATTAAACAGTGTATATATGTTCTTGATTCATGACATTGATTGCAATCCCTACAATTTAACAACTTTTCCCATATCCTCCTTGTGTTTATTTCATTCAATCTTTCTTGGTTGTGTAGTGGTTACACAGTGGGCTGCTAACCTTGAGGTCAGCAGTTTGAAACCATCAGCCGATCCTTTGGAGAAAGATGAGCCTTTCTACTCCCATAAAGTTACAGGCTCAGAAATCCACAGGGCGCCTGTAGGGTCGCCATGAATGACAATTGATTTGGTTTTCTTTCCTTTCCTATTCTTTCCTGCTTCCTGAGCTTTTTTCCTAGCAAGATACTGCTCTTTGATCTATTACGGATGGTTATTCTAAGGCAGTGGTTCTCAACCTGTGGGTTGCAACCCCTTTGGGGGTCTGACCCTTTCACAGGGGTCACCCGATTCATAACAGTAGCAAAATTACAGTTATGAAGTAATCACGGAATTAATTTTATGGTTGGGGTGGGTCACACAGCATGAGGAACTGTATTAAAGGGCCGCGGCATGAGGAAGGTTGAGAACCACTGTTCTAAGCAGCCTCATTGGTGTGACTATTCACCCGATAGCCCTGTCTGTAGTTTGGCTGAACGTTGAGCTACAGGAAAACTTAAAGGATGATAACGGTCTGAGCCACAGTCTCAGATGTCCCACTAGTCTCTATTAGACCCGGAAGCTTGTTTTGTTTTTTAAATGACTTTGAGTTTTCCCCCCATATTTTCCCCTCTATCCAGGACCTCCTATTGTATCTTTTCAGAGTGATGTGATGCTTTTTCAAAGGGTAGATGCAGAGGGCTTAATATTTTATGATACTGTGTCTGGCACAGCATTTTATTGGTCTTTCTGTTCAGAGAAGCACACTGGGTACTGAAATGGCTAGCATAATGTCTCTAAGAGTGGGATAAAGAACTAAATGTGGCCTTTTGTATCTGTTTTCTGAAAATAGTCTGAGCAATTAGGGTGCTTTGTATCTTTTTAAAATAGCCAAGAAAGTAGGGGCTACACAATGCAAACTAACTTCTGAAAGAGAAGAGGCATGGTGCAACCTTGCATATTCATTTTGTGTGATCCTAACTACAGTATGTATTGACCCCAGTCATGCATATTCTTAAGAACTCAGTCACTAGGGGACTCTAGAAATTGGAGTTCCCTTTTTGGCAGCTTTTAGGATTGTTGAAAACTGACTGCAAGGGGTAGAAAGCCCGTCCCTGGAGGCAGGAATCCCTATGCTGAGACCTCTTCCAAACCTTGCCTCTGCTTGTATCCTTTCTGCTTATGACAAATGGGTTAAGTATGGTTAACAGTCTCTATGAATTCTGTGAGCCATTCTAGAGAATTCATGAACCCACAGGACAATGAGCCAGCAGGAACTGCAGTACAGTCGATTTGTGTAGACCCAGTTCTGGGCGGCTGAGTGATGATAAGCGGCAGTTGATAAAGGCTAGTGCCCTTCAGCTTGTGACCTAATTCTAGGAGACAAGAGGGGGAGAGAGAAAAGGCGAGGCTACACAGTCTGAAGTGCAGAGTTGTGTACTCTTGCCTTTCACTGTTCCCCAGTGACCTGGCCTCAGGTGGTCAAAGATGTTTTGATGGCTCAGCATAGCCACAGATGAGGTGTAACTCTAGGGGGTAAGGAACTGACGGAGAGTGTTGCCATGCAAGTGGCTGGTGAGGAGGAATGGAAATGTGGGACGGTGAAGGCTGGATCCATTTCTAGGTGGGAATTGAATTCCTGCTGATCTTCGCTATGGAGTTAATGATAAGCTCACCGTGTCCCTTTTACAGTGCAGTCTGTAGTATAATCCTCATTCTTGGTCATATTAGATAGCTTAGGGACCATGCTCATAATACAGTGAAACCTGTGAGAACTGGAACGCAGTGGGACAGCCTTGTTATTTTCATGTCTTCCGCCTTTGACGGAGTGCTATCTTACAGCATTTATTCTTTTGTTTTGAGGGAAATGTTTGCGTTTTCCTGCTCTGACACATTTCTGCCCTACATCGGTTCAGGCTTCCACACATTTTAGTTTGACTAATCTCCTCCCACATGAAGACATTCAACATACTCTATTCAATTAGTGGTACACCAAAGTAGTGGTTCTCAAGGTATAGTAGAGGGTGATAGAAAATTGGTTTTAGGAAGTGTGGCCCACCTCCCAATTCTGAAGTGCTATAAGACATTCTGTCCCCACTCCCACTCAGAATCACTAGCCTTCTGCTTATTCATGTGAAATTCACTTTTAAAATTTTTCTGTACAACTAGATATGACCTCTTAAAGTCTTTCTGTTTTGAGTTTTTCATTACCTAGAATAAACTGTACACACCCAATAATATGAGTATACTATACTCCTTTCTACCTTTTATAAGCACTTAGGGCTCAAGTAGAAAGAAAATGTTTTGAAAATGATGATGGCAAAAAAAAAAAAAAAAGAAAATGATGATGGCAACATATGTACAAATGTGCTTGACACAATGGGTGGATATATGAATTGTGATAAGAGCTGTTAAGAACCCCCAATAAAATGATTGAAAAAATCCAAAACTTAGAATTAACACACCAATCCTTATATATTATTCTTCTAGAAAAATGTCTTAACTTAAACCTAAATTCTGCTCATTTGTTTATTGGTTTAACAAACCAATAACCTCAGTTCCTTGGGTACTACTTTAAATAGTGTTTCCAATGTAGACTCATCCAGCTTTTGAAAAAACAAAACTAAAGCACATCCATTAGTTCCCTTTTAGATAAATGTACTACTAACCCCCGTCAAGAATTCTCAAATTACTTAGTAATGATTTTCTGTTTACCAGAAAACATGCTGCCTTTTTACTTAGTCCATTTTGCTTATGAGAAGATGCTTATTTCAGATTTCACAGTAAACCACGAGTTTTGCTGGTTCACAGACCCCTACTGATTAGCAATAGCCGAATTGCTTCCTTTGTTCAATACTTTATCATATATACTCAGAGCTAATCCACAATATCATCCTTGAATTCACTCAGAATTGTATGGCAGAAATCAGGGTTACTGATTTCGGTTATTTAGGTGGGTTTTGTAAAATATATAAACCTAAAATTTAAAAACCATTAGGTTAAATTGGGTCCTTGCCTCGTTTATCATGTGCAATACTAATTCCAGATGGCTTAAATACCATACTCGAGTATATACTCAAGTATAAGCCGACCTGAATATCAGCCAAGGCGCCTAACTTTTTTTTGAGGCATCTAATTTTACAACAAAAAACTGCATTAAAAATGCTGAAAAACTCGGCTTATACACGAATATATATGGTACTTAAATACTATACAGTAAAGTGCCATGCATTGAAAGTCTTAGAAGAATGTCTGTCTATAAGGGTAGATAGATCTAGTAACACTGGCCAACATATATTTAGGTGCCTCAAATGTCAGTCTTGTTTCTAGATATATTTGACCTGCTGATTTTAAAAACGACACTGATTTTCCCCTATCAGCTCTAGTTTTTTTTAAAAAAATCATTTTATTAGGGGCTCATACAACTCTTATCACATTCCTTACATACATCAATTGTGTAAAGTGCATTTGTACATTCATTGCCCTCATTATTCTCAAAACATTTCCTCTCCACTTAAGCCCCCAGCATTAGGTCCTTATCCCCCACCCCCTCCCTGAGCTCTAGTTTTTAAGATATAGCATATATGTCATTTATCACCTGGCACTCTGCTCACCAATTTAAAAAAATCAGGATATTTTAATTTAGTGTTAGCAAGACAGATATAAATGGAGGCATTATTTAACATAGTTTGTGCTCTACTAAATATTTAGTTCAAGTTATACTTAGCATGGTGCCCTTTGATCCAAAGATATATTTAAACAGTGCAAACTACATGAACTTGGAATTGTCCCCAAGTATCACGTCACCTTTATAACGAACTGAATATCAGGCAATTCCAATTTGTTATGTTAAAATGGGCCAGAAATAAGAACTACTTTGCAATAAATAAGGAGCCTTGATGGTGTAGTGGGTTATATGAGTGAATGTGCGTGCATACATGGAATACAGAGAAAACGTGCACAAGTGCAAGGGAGAGAGAGAAGAAAAGGAGAGTGTACTGTGAGGGGGAAAAAGGAAAAAAGAACCTGGAAGGGAGAAGGAAGTGGTGCAAGGGGAAGAGGCAGCGGGAGGCTTAAACCAGTTCTTAGTCCCAAAGACCCTTCATTTTTGAGGGGGAAAAAAATACCACCTTCCTGTGTGTATAAATATATATATGTAAAGAAATTATTAAATGGCAATATTTAGTGACAGGAATTTCTATGATTTATTACTAAGTAATATATTTACAGAGTAAAGTAAATATTCAAATAAAGAACTGTGTGTATATATGTGTAAAGGTATATGCAACGACTGATTACCTCAAAGGTAGAATGGATGGGGAAGGTATTGTTTAAATACGTCTTTGCATTATACTATTTCACTTGCTATAACAAACAACTATTTTATAATTTGAAAAACCTTTTTAAAAGTATGCAAAACAGTACCAACAGATTCTGTTTAGGTTACCCATTCACAATGACATCTTCCCTCTTATCTACCTACCCCCCCCCCCTTATTTTTTCTTTTTCATCTACCCCTTCAAGTCCCTTTTAATTTGCTTCTGGAAGCACCATATCCCTTGGCTATTCACTTGGTGTGTGACACACCAACTACAAGAACTAAGCATTGCAGTACACACGTGTATAATATCAGCTTAAATGTTCTACCTTGGCTTTTCTGTCACTTCCCACATCTTAATTTTTCCCTAGTTCATTTTCATTGACCAGAAGTACATCTTGGAAGTCCCCCTGCTGAGTCTAATTCCAGCTCCTCTTCCATTCTTTCCCCGTTTTCCATTCAATCATCTCTAGTGCCTGCACGCTGGGAACATTCGATTGCTAGAGCAGTGCTGACCAAGAAAAATGTAATGCAAGCCATCTAAGTAAATACAAACTTGCTAGTAGTGGCATTTAATAAAAAGAATGGATCTTAATGTCATTTATTGAATCCGATATATCTAAAATAACATTTCAACAAGTAATCAATTTAAGAAATGAGCTCTTACATTCCTTTTTTCATGCAAATTCTTCAAAAGCTAGTGACTACACCTACAGCACATCTCTCTTTGGACTAGCTACCTTGGAAGTGGCTTGTGGCTACCTTATTGGACAACACGGTTCAGGAGGTAGCTGCTCCCCTCAGGAGCCCTGCATTTTATAATACAACCCCTCCAGGGAGGACTGGCTTTTCTAAAGTTCACTAAAAGATCCAGCATGTGAATAAAGTGCTGTGAGGGCAACACTACCATGAACTATAAATGAGTAGGAATTACCTTTAGGTTATTTCCCCCAAAATCGCTCCACCTTCAGTTTCCTGAGGCAGAGCCCACCCGTGGGTATGTACGTTGGAATCCTGGTTCTGCCACTTGCCACCTGTGGAACAGTGGACTGTGGATTTCATTCTCCGGTCTGTGAAATGGGAAGATGCTAATTATAGTACCTGCTTGGAAAACGACCACCACTCATGTACCCGTCAGTTTAATACACCGAATTTTTGAGATGCTAGGGGTGAGGTCACCAGTACTTCAAATGCCAAGCGGGACAGGTTTCCAGACTACGAAGAGACTTCGAGAAGGGATAAGCTGCCCACATAGGAGGGATTAGATACACAAAATCTTAATAGCAGTGGAGCATTGTCACTGCCGATGCTGACTTAAAGTGACCCTCCAGGGTTTCCTGGCAGGCTTTGGAAACAAGCCTAGTCTCCAGTGGAGCAGCTGGTGGTTAGCAGCCCAACTCTCTCACCATGACTCCAGGGAAGGCACAAGTCGACTACGTTAGAGCCGCCTTATTGGAGTGGGCCTTAATTGGGCCTCACGTTGGCCACCGGGGTCCCCTGGAAACCCCAAAGGATCTGGCAAAGGGCCAGCCACACACCTGCGATTACCCCAACAGCCCCGGGGCAGCCCTGGCGGGCAGTCTAGGAAATCCGAGCGATTCTGGGCCGACACGGCAGCCAGGGGCTGCCTTCTGGTTGAGAGCCCAGCCTTTCGCAGCTGGACACGGGACTTAGGCAAACTGGGTGGCCATCAAGGGCCCTCCCCGCCCGGCGGCGGACGGAGGTGAGCGGAAACCTGAGAAACCGGAAGAGGAGTGCTTCTCCGGAAGCAGCGGGGGCGAGCCAGCTAACACAGCGCCTGCCGGGAGGCGAAGCCCCGGACGGCCTCGGGCCTGGAGCGCAGGACACCCCTAGCGCTCCAACTTGGACAGAGGGTGGCCTACGGGAGCGCGGGCCGACGGGTCGGGGGCGTGGCCACCCAGGGACCCGCCCACCCAGCCTTCGGCTTGAGACCCCGGAGGACGCGCCCGCCTGACGCACTGGCTCCACAGCCAATCCGGAGGCGCGGACCCGGTTCGAATACAGACGGCGGGGCAACGCGGCGGCGTGTGTGCCTGCGGCTGGGATGCGATTGAGCTCCTGTCTGCGTCGGCGATGTGGCGGGTGGACGAACGGCCCCTCAGCGCGTCCGCTTCGCCCCAGCGGGTGAGCCGGAGGGCCCGCGGAGAGTCCAGGGCTGGGCTGCTAGGACGGGGGCGCTGCCCGTGCCCAATGCCCTAGAAAGCTGGGCGTGATGGTGGGTGTGCGTCTGGAGCTGGTTCGTCAGCCGCTTCAGCGGAGCCTGTTGTCGCTCGTCGCCTGCGCCTTGGGAGGGAGGGAGGACACAGGTTGGCCGAACCGAAAGCTAGATTCTAACTCTCCGTGTTTCCTCAGGGAAGATCCATTATGAGAACTCCTCTCCGAGAACTGAATCTGCAGCCTAGGGCCTGCACCAACTCTGGCGAAGGGCCCCCGGGGAGCCCGTCGCTGACCCCGCCATCGGGCAAGCAGACGCTGCAGGTGAGATTCACTGGGCTCTTTGCCCAGGCTGAGAGCCCAGAGGAACAGAGGTTCCGGGCTGGAACGTAATTAATACGCATAATGAATTCGTCTGCCTTAGTGACATCCACTTACAGCTATTCAGGCCAACAGAGAGGTGCCCTAGGAGGCTTGAAGGAAATCCACGGAGAACCTCAACCTCAATCTCTACTTAGCTGTTAGTTTGTATCAACGTCTTCCATCAGACTTTTTCCAAACTTCTGAGAAATACTTTCACCCTGATTAGTGGCCTCCCACGGAGCTGAGCGTCCATCAGCCACAGCAGGGAGACAAGAGCCACCCAAACCTCCAAGTAGTGAGAATTTCAGGGATTAGTTGCACATCTCTGGAAATTAGGGTACTTGGACTCCCTTATCTTAGACCCTTTCAGAACTGCTCTCATTGAGTTGTACTTTTTGGTTTTGAGAGAAGTAGCCAGGTAGAAATTACTTTCTATTGGCTTTAAAAACTTGACATGGGATGAAATGGACCCCTTTGTAAGGTTCTTATGATCCCTGGTGGCACAGTGGTTAAGAACTGCACTGCTAACTGAAAGGCCAGCAGTTCAAATCTCCCAGCCCTTCTGAGGGTAAATGATGTGGCAGTCTGCTTCTGAAAAGGGGCTGTTGAGTGGTTCCCACTCATGGCAACCTTTTGTACAACAGAATGCACCACTGGTCTTTCTCCATTCTCATGTTTTCTCCTATATTTGAATCAATGGCTGCAACCACAATGGTGTCAATCCAAGGAGCCCTGGTGGTGTAATGGATGATGAGTTGGGCTGCTAACCACAAGGTCAGTGGTTCAAAACCACCAGCTGCTCCTTGGGAGAAAGATGGGGTTTCCGCTCCTGTAAAGATTTACAACCTTGGAAACCCACAAGGGTAGTTTTACTCTGCCTTATAGGGTTTCCATGAGTTGGAATCTACAGAGTGACACTGAATTTTTCGAGGTTGGTCTCAGTCATTTGTTGAGCGTCTTCCAACCCTGGGCTTTATCAAGCATACTATGATTCTTCAGGGTTTGGTTCCTCCTTGATAACATGTCCAAAGTACTTGAGACCAAGTCTCATCATCTTTCATGCTAAGGAGCATATTGGCTATACTTCTTCCAGGACATGTTTGCTTACTTCTGATAGTCCATAATATACGCAAGATTCCTTGCAGTTGTTGATTGCCCTGCATTTGTATTCATACGAGGTGATTGAAGATACCATGGCTTGGGCTCTCGCAGCTTGGTTCTGAAGAAGACATCGTGGCTCTCTGATACTTTCAAGAGGCCTTTGGCAGCAGATTTGCCCACAGAAATACATCATTCGGTTTCTTGACTGCAGCTTCCATGTGTATTGGTTATGGATCCAAGTAAAGTGAAATCCTTGACAACTTTAATCTTAGCTCTTTTTATCATGATGCTGCTTAGTGTTTTTGTTTACTTTATGTTGCGGTGTAATTCATATTGAAGGCTATAGTCCTTGATCTCCATCCTCTGCTTTCGGCAAGCAAGGTTATATTATTTGCACATCAACACCTTCTTTGAATCTTTATACATATTCTTCTTCTCTAACTTCTTGGATTATTTGTATGCTCAGCATACAGACTGAATAAGTGTAGTGAAAGGATGAAACATTGGCACACATCTTTCCTGACTTTAAGCCATGCAGTAACCCCTTGTTCTGTTTGAATGACTGCCTCTCATTTTATGTACAGTCTGCATGCACACACGTAGATGTATTCTGAAATTCCCATTGAGAGTGTTATCGGTAGTTTGTTTTGAACTACACAGTCAAATGCCTTTGTATAGTCAATAAAACACAGGTAAACGTCTTCTAGTAGTCTCTGTTTTCAGTCAAGATCTGATAATCAACAATAACATCCTTTGTTCCACAGCCTCTCCTGAATCCAGCTTGAATGTAGGCAGTTCCCGCTCAGTGTACTGCTGCAATCATTTGTGAACTATCTTCAGCAAATTTTTACTTGGCCTGTGATACCAATGATATTGTTTGATGGTTTCTATATCCTATTGTGTCACCTTTCTTTGGAATGGGCACAGATATGGATCTTTTTCAGCCCATTGGCCACATGATTGTCTTTCAAATTTCTTAATATAGACAAGTGAGCATTTCCAGTATTACATCCCTTCGTTGAAACATCTCAATTGGTATTCGGTAAATTCCAGGGTCCTTTTTGTTTCCCAATGGTTTCAGGGCAGGTTTAACTTCCTCCAATACCTTCAGTTCTGAATCATAATACCTCCTAAAATGGTTAAGTGTTGACCAATTCTTTTCGGTATACTGACTGTATTTCTTCCATATTCTTGTGTGTGTGTGTTAACGGGTTTCATGTTCCTTTTGTGGCTTCTTGTGTTGTTCAACGTTTTGCCAATAGAGTTTTCCAGAATTGCTTTTGAGGCTTGAGTTTTTGCCATTTTTCAGCTTGAGAAATGTTGAGCATGTTTGTCCCTCTTGATAATCTAACCCCAGGTATTTACACACTTCCTTTCTTTTCCTTCTTTTTTTAAAAATCATTTTATTAGGGGCTCATACAACTCTTATCACAATCCATACACACATCAATTGTGTAAAGCA